ATCTCCCCCCCAGACCTAGTGCCACTGGCCCGTCGCAGGGCTGCCTGGCCACCTCCTGCCCATCTCCCACTGGGGAAAGATCCGAGCCGTGCAGGGGCCTGGCTGGAGGACCTGCACCCTGGGAGCAGCTGTGGGGAGGGAGGGTGCAGACGTGCAGAGCATGCAGTGAAGCTGGGGGCAGGAAGGGAAAAGGGGGCTCATGGCACCCAGGCCTGTGCCTTGCTAAAGGGGCAGGTTCTTACAAACAGGGACCAGGCCTGGGGCTCATCTGTCCTGGGGGTGTGCGTGGCTTCCCGCAGTCGGCCAGGTGCCCGCGCAGCTGCCACCCCCTGGCACAGAGCCATGGGGCAGCGCAGGGACCCGGCCCACGGCTCCCCAGGAATTAGGGGCTCCATGCTGCGAGCCCTGGCCCTGCCCCCGCCCACTCACAGGCAACACTGCCCAGGCCCTGCCACTGTGCCAGTACCCCCCCAGGGCTGGAGCCGCGCTGACCTTGGGAAGGAGCGATCAGGGCAGCCGAATGCTGCGCTCACAGCTGCTCAATAGGATTTTCCAGCAGCGCCCCTCCCTGTCCCATCGACTGACCCGGCTCTGCTCAGCAGCACCCTCGTCTCCTTCCCGGCAGGAAGGTCACAGCCGGGGTGGGGAGGGAGCGACGGGCCAGCCAAGTCGCATGCAGAGGGCCGGTCCCCTGAGTGCTGTGGGAACCCGTCCGCCTGTTGCGCCGGATGTCCCAGGGAGATGGGCAGCCCCTGGCCTGAGGAGCGAGGAGGCTGGTATGGTGGCACAAACGCCAGCCAGTCCTGGCTACGTTCGAGTCTGAGGCAGCCCTGCGTGCAGCCTGCCCCCGTGCAAAGAGCCCTTCCACACGCCCGTAAATCTGGTGAGCCATCCCGCTCCGCCCCCGCACGACAGCGCCCAGCAGAGCTACAGACAGATCCTGCAACGGGCCAGCAGCCTTCCTTGCGCAGCACGGCCCGTTCACGGAGCTAAGGGTGGCGCGCCGTTCCAAGGGGCCTCTCGCCCGCTGCTGCTCCCCGAGACTAAGCGCCGCCGGACAGGCTGGCAGCTGCAGCTTCTGGCGTTTGCGAGCGCCTGGCCCAATCCAGACGCCCCACGTCCCGGCGAGCCCTCTCGCTAACATCTCGCTGCGGGGAAGCACGTCCGCACCATCAGCTGGGATGGTCCTTTCCCCTCCCCTCCCCCTGTTTCTCCCAACACGCTCCCCAGACTCGGGTGTGTGGCTCGGGTTTCATATGGAGGCAGTGGCCCCGCTGGGGAGCGGAGAAGCATCCCCGCTCTCTGAGCGGTGCAGCGCCCACGCCCGGGGCTGCTTTTCGGCAGCATGGCTGTTTCCTGGATGCTGACGGAATTATTTGCTTTGGCCGGAGCTGCTGCTTGTCCTGCTCGCAGGACGCCTGCCCCCTCCAAGGGGATGCTGGGAGGCGGAAAAGGCAGGGGCGCTAGGGGCTGCAGGCGCCAGCTTGCTTGAAAAGCGGAGGGGGGCCTCAGGATGGGCTGAGAATTGCTGAGGAACAACAGGGGAGGCCAGGTAGCCGTGGCTCGGGTCCCCCGCGTGCGGGGGT